TTAGCGACGGGAATTGGGCCTTAGCGACCAGAATCATGTTTTTAATGTTGTTCTGGTTTTTTAGCCCATTTTGACATTTTTGGGAGAAAGAACACGGCCTGGGGCGATTTTTGAGCAAGAAATCATGGGAAATCTTGAGGTAAGTCATTTGTGATCATTTCTACTCCATAATATTGAATTATTATCGAATAATCCGACTAGATTACATATTTTTGAGGTGTAAATTGAGGATTTGGACTTAGGGATTTGAAAATAAGATTTGAAGATTTGGAGGCCGAGTTGTTATCGGAATTTAGTAATTTTGGTATGGTTGGACTCGTGGTTGAATGGGTTGTCGGATTTTGTGAGTTTCGTCAGATTCCGAGATGTGGGCCCCACGGGCGATTTTTAGTTAAATTTCGGATTTTTGTGAAAAATTAATATTTTTTACATGGAATTAATTTATATAAATTGTATTGACTGAATCACATTAATTGTGGATAGATTCAAGGCGTTCGAATGCCGATTTACGAGGCAAGGGCATAGTGGAGTAAAGAACTTCACGGTTTGAGATAAGTAACTCTTTTAAACTTAGTGTTGAGGGTATAAACCCCGAATTATATGTTATGTGATTGATGTTGAGGTGACGCACATGTTAGGTGACAGGCGTGTGGGCGTGCACCCTGTGAATAATGACTCTGTTGTCCGTGCAGCACGTGAGTTGTCCGTGCATATACTGATATTGATACTATAGCACGTGAGTTGTCCGTGCAGATACTGATATTGATACTATAGCATGTGAGTTGTTCGTGCAGCACGTGAGTTGTCCGTGCAGACTTTAGCGCTTGGGCTGTAGGAGCCCATCCGGAATCTGCACACCCCCAGTGAGCGCAGGCGACTATAAATAAATGATTCGGGTTGCACGCCGCAACGAGCCTTCGGGCTATATATATATGGATCGGGTTGCACGCCGCAACGCGTATAGTACAATGTTGAGTGATTGAGAGTGTTGAGTATTGAGCATGGTAAAAGATAATGCGAGGCAGTGAGATTGAGTACTCTGAGAGTGTGAGTACATGAGTTCATTACTGAGAGGCATTGCATTTGGCATGTATACTTGAGATATATGCATAGAGTTGCATTTCTTTCTGCTGCCTGGTTTTGGTGGCATTCATGATATTACCTGTATCTTGACATGTAGGCATAGAGATGTACTTTCCTCATGCCATTTGAAAAATGAAATCTCCTATTTTGAAAGAAAGTTTTATGGAAAAATCACAGTTTTTACACTTACTCATAGTTTGGTGATTTTAGTGAAAAGAATTGAGTTTTACTGTTACACTTGAAAAGAAAATGCTTATTTTTCCTGAACTGTGAACAGCTGAGCATTTTATTATTAATTTATTCTTTGTGCTGCTTATGAATATTATTGTGAAGTATTACTGGATGTGGGTATGGACCCTAACCTTGGTACAAGTTCGTCACTGCTTTCAACCTGAGTTTAGGTTTGTTACTTATTGAGTACATGAGGTCGGTTGTACTCATACTGCACTTCATGCACATTGCGTGCAGATTTTGGATGTCGATGTCGCCGTGTTTGATGAGAGCTGACTTGGAATATGTTCCGGCGTCCCTATTGTAGCTGCCTCTTGTTCATGGTAGCCTTAGAATCATTAAACTCTGTTTATGTACTTTTCAAATAGAAGATGTATTTGTTTCATATCAGTTTTGTAAATTCTACTCATAGAAGCTCATGATTTGTATTACCAGTCCTTAGGAGGTGTATAAGAGATCATTTATTTTTCCTCAGTATGTTATATTTTTATTGTATTTGATGAGTTGGCTTACCTAGCAGGATGGGTTAGGTGCCATCACGACTAGTTGGATTTCGGGTCGTGACACTAGGACCCAGTAGTAAAAGAAACCTACTTGAATCATAGTAGTCAATAAAGTCAAGTAGCCACATAGAACCAAAAAAATGAAGGAAACAGTCTAGCACATAGCAAGGAGATCAACACACAGAAACAAGAAAAGTCTTTAAACTCATAGCAATAAGTGAAGAAAAAGAAAAATTTATAAGGAATTAGGATTTTAATAGAGCTGAGTTAAAAAGGTAAGAACTTTAGAAGCAGTCAAGTTAAACAAAGAAAAGGATCTAAACACAAAGAACTCAGTCGAGACCAGTATACATGCAAGACAAACAAAGACAGCTTCAGAACTCAAAAATACCTAGGGTTGCAACACGATGAACTAGTTAGAAGTAAAATATGAACAAATCGATTAAACATAATGGAATCATAAAACAATACTGAAAATCGGAGAAGTGATCTTTTAAAAAGAGTTTAAGAAACCCTAATTTGAAAATGAAGAGTCACTTTGAAAGAAAATCGAAGAACCTTTGAGAAAACACCAAAAAGTTCATAACATGCACAGATCTAAGAAAGATCTGAAAGAAAATCGGAAAGCTCTTAAAGCTAGGGTTTCAGAGAACCCAGAAAAAGTGAGAAAAGACTTTGAAAAGTTACCGATCTAGCCAGAAAAGCCATGGATCTGACTTGATCGGCCATGAGTGGCCGCAAAAAGGCCATAGATAGAAGTTGAGCCAAGACTGGACTAGATCCCTTTGAGATCTATCCATGAAATCACGGAAACAAACGACCAGGAGCCATAGGAGATCGGTACACCTCTCAAACAGCCGTGGGAGTCCATGGATTAGGTGAAGATCAAAGGGGATTAGGGTAGATTTGGGTGGCAGCGGCTAGGGTTAGCTTTAGGTTCTCAGAGAGAGTTTGAGAGGAGAAGGGATTCAAGGGCAGCAGGTTGGTAGAAATGATTTAGGTTTAGGGGTTGTTCTGGGTTAAAAATGGTAAGGTGAAATAGTACGGCCTAGATTAAAAGGGGTAGGTGGGGGTCCGGGTTTGGGTTGGGTTTAAAAGGGTTAGGGGCGAGTTTTAATTGGAATTGGGTTGGGAAATTTGGGGTCTAATTTAGGCTATAATTGAAATACAAATGGGATGTTATTTAAATAGCCATATTTTCCTTTTTAATTTATAAAAATAGTCAATAGCTTCTAAAAATAAAATGAAAATACTAAAATAATTTATAACACATAAATAACAATTTAAAAATACAAGACTCAATTTTATGAATATAAGACACAGTTAAACCTTAAAATGACTAATATTGCAATTATGTGCAATTTAGCTTTAAAAATACTAAATGAAATTGTAAAAATATGTAAAAATTATTTGAGCCATATTTCGGCATAAATATAAAAATTCAATAGATGAATTATCAAGATAATAAATTTTGGAAATAATTACTGAGATTTTATGGATAAAAAAGGGGAAAATAAGTCAATAAAAATTATGAAAAAATAATAAAATATTTGAGCATGCTTATATATGCATATATATGCTATTTTGAAGTTATTTTGCATATTCAAAATACATAAGAAAAAATTGGGTATCAACAATATGTCGTTTCACATCGTTTCGGCAAGCCTACTCTCTGAGAAACGAGGGGACTATCTGTATACGGGTAAAACCGAGCCCACTGCATGACTCGACTTTCCGGTGAGCCAAACAGAGCAAGAGCATGACCATAGTGTATCGGAGTCAAAGCGAAGAGTCCTCGTATCGGGGCTCGGGCAAAACACCTACCCTCGTGGATATCTGGGTCATATCCTCCGGTTCGATTTAAGGATCGAGGCTTCGGAGAGCATTACTAAACGGTTGTGCACGACTAACAAAGGGTCGTGATGTCCGTGCTTGATCGGATATCACGGTGTGAATCTCGGCCCGTATCGGCGAAAAATCAATGATTAGCAAAACGGAAGATTTTTACCTTTTTTAGAATTGTGGTTAGGGTAAAACTCTCAAACTATATAAAGGAGAGTCTGATTATTCATTAGACACTTTGTAATATGCATATCAAGGCAATATACCGTTATTTTTTTCTGTTCTTACTTTTGTTCATCAAGTTCTCTATTATTGTTAGCTCGGGACTGAAGACAAACACTTCATTAAGTTATTACTGAGTCCGGGATCACTGCCGCTATTGATTTGACAATTTATTACGTTTTTTATTTATTAATCTAACGCTATTAACCGTTTGTATTGAATTAATCCGCATATCTTTAAAACCATTTATAAATTTAATTGTTATCCGTTTTTTAGGGTAAACAATTCTCTTTGTTAAGTACTTCATTTCGTTCCAATTTAATTCTCATGATTTTCCTCATTAGAAAGCCTTATAAGCTAAATAACTGATTCTGGAAAAAATAAGAAATATAATCCGTGATTTGATTGTTCTCCATCCCGGAAACTACAGAATGGTTCTTTACACTTTCAGTAATACTTTTGCTCAAGATTCAAGAATATTGATAATTTAGTTCAGACCACCAAACTAACCTTTGAAATCATGGATAAGTAATGAAGGATGCAAAAGTGTAATGTCGTCTTCTTGAGCCGAGTGTCAATCGAAAATAGCCTCTCAGCCTCTCTATCCCTTCGAGATAGAGGTAAGGTCTGCGTATTCACTACCCTTCACATACCTCACATGTGAGATTTTACTGGGTTGTTGTTATTGTTGATGATGCAAAAGTTTAATGCACCAAGTTCAAATAATGCAAGAAAAATAGAGTTGATGGGGATTTTAAAGAACCTTAGCTCACATCCTAGAGATTCAAAGGCACCAGAAAGGTAAAATACTCTAAATTTACTTTTGACTATAACATCCTCCAAGCAAAGTCTTATTATTCATGTTTTGCCAGAAACAAGGTAAATTAAGTCTAGTTGAGTGTAATGCATATGAATTTCAACCGAGTAGCAAAATAGATGTTGAGGTTGAATTGCAAGTATTTTGACTTAAACCAACCTACGAAGTCAGCGAACCATAAATGAACCTTAACTAGTCATTCTCTTGATCAATTAGCAATTATAAACTAAATCAAGTGTATAATACCATAAAAATAAAATCATGTATATAACAACATAATAAACTACTAGTAGTACCTATAGCTAAGAAGATAAATATGGCACACTTTTTTTGAAAAGTTTTTTTAGACGGCCATAACTTGTAGTAACTAATTTAGCGGGTAACTTTTTGTTTTCCTTGGCTTCTCTTGAATCTTGATTTTCCTTTACCTCTTCCTTGGTTTCTTTTTGGTCTTGATTTGCCTTTTCCTTTGCCTCTTCCTTGGCCTCTTTCAGAGCCTGAATTAAGTTATTCAAGCAAATTTCAGGCCCTCCTGAAGTATTCTTGTGTATCAAATATTCAGCCACATCACAAGGACTCATGTTTACTTCCTCTAGTAATCGTTGAATTTCTTCAAACAAATCGTGAGTTTCAATTCTCAAGTAATTCTTAGCCAATACTTTGAATGCTTCAAATTTGCAATACGACATCTCAATGTGCATATCCATCCGTCCTCTGCGTATCAGAGCTGGATCAAGTTTTTCCTTATAATTAGTCGTAAATATAATGATTCTTTCTTGACCACAAGCTGACCATATTCCATCAATGCAATTCAACAGCCCTGAAAGTGTAAGTTTGCTGGATTTTTTCTTCTCGCTATCTGAGTCTGAGTCTGAATCGGAATCCGAATCCGAATCTGAGTCATCATCGTCAGAATTTTCTTCTTTCTTTTTCTTCTTTCTCTTGCCTGTCAAATCAACAGAGCAATCAATATCTTCAACGACAATAATAGACTTGCTTGTTGTTTCCATGAGCAACTTCTTAAGACCTAAGTTATTTTTAACTGAGGTAAGCTCAAGATCATAAATATCATAGTTCAAGAAATTCGCAATAGCTGCAATCATTGTTGATTTCCCCGTTCCTGGTGGACCGTAAAGAAGATAGCCGCGCTTCCATGCCTTGCCTACACTAGAATAAAAATTCTTCCCCTCACTAAAAGCAACGAGATCGTTTTTTATTTCCTCTTTTTTCTTAGGGTCCATAGCCAAAGTATCAAAAGTTGCAGGATGCTCGAAATTAATATGCTTCCACATACCATACCAACGTGTATAATAATTATCCCCATTATTGTCATTACAGTAAATCCTCTGTTTCTTGTTTTTGAATTCAATCGCTTTGCCTTCTTCCATCACATACTTCAAGTATTTTTCTGTGACAATTTCTCGATATTCTTGATTGAACGTTAAACTGTAACTTTTCTTCTCAATTGGAAGGGAATTATGCCCTTGAGAATCGTCCCTCAATGTTTCCTTATGAAAGCGCCAACAAAGTTTCGCACCTTGAAATTCATCAATAGTTGATTCTCCTTCATCCAAAATAACAGCACAAGACTTGATGTTCTTGAATTTTTCAGCTTTGAGATGTTTAGCATCATTGCTTATAGACTTCGTACTCAAATAATTGTTGACATGGTTGTAAATTTCATTGTTTATACCACTGGAGAATTCATCAATGGTGATTTCTACATAAGGGTAGAAGTAATTTTCAAGTCGATTCCAGAAGGTTTCGATTCGCCTACGGATTATTTGAGGGAAGAGTTGTTGAATTGTGCCCCATATGAACATTATTCCAGCAAGCCTGGACCCAACTTCGGTCAATGAAGTTCCCATGTTGTTTTTCCTTCAACAACATAAATTTTTAAGGGGTGTATGCTTAATACGAGAATATATATAGATATAGAATTGGAAGATGTGCAAGTTATTACCCAAAAAAACATTGTCTGGTCCTTGTCGAACAAGGAAGTCGACTAGTTTAACTCGGCAACAAAAGAGCCTTTTTTAGCAGTATTTTAATTATACTAGGATTCTAATTATATATATGGAAATTGTAAAAAAAAAATTATATTATTAGTGAAGTTTTAACCTGTGATAATTTGTTAGTTTCCATTTTTATCATATAAATAATCTATTACTAATTTTTTTTGGTCAAATCTATTACTAATACTTATAGAAAAAGTAGTCTTATGCACGTGTACTAGTGTTATTTATTATTTATTACACTAAAAACTAGTCGTATGCATGGGTTCAAAGCAACAAAAAAAAAAAAAAAAAAAAAAAAAAAAAAACTCCTATATAAAATTTCTAGGGTAGACAAAAAAGTTAAATGAAAAATGTGTTCCTAACACTTTTAATGTAAACTAGTCTCTCTACACGTGCACGGTGGGAAATTCAATCCGGATGGAACTAAATATTTCACATTTATAGGCTTCGACGGATTTAGATTTGGCAAAAGATTACTCCTCTTCAGGTGCAGATGAGGTTTATGGGGAAGAGGAGACAAGGGCTGACGCTTAAGCATCGGCTAGTGGAACCACTCCTGTATTGTTTGGGTACGACCGGACAACTACCGATATCTATTAATATCTTTTCTTAGAATGTTTTTTAGAAATATATATCTATCTATCTATATCGTAAACTATCGGATCGGGTATTACTTAGATGTGAAACTTGCAGACCTCATAGGTTGTAATATTTTTCTTACGGGGGGAACGAAATAAAAGAATATATAGACTAGTAGAGACCCTCTATGTAGTTGTCTATCTAGGGCGATCGATCTACATCTTTCCCCATAGCCCTGGGGCTGTGTCTCGATCTCCTATGTGCGAAATATAAGGGACTAGTTCCTATAGANGTACATCTTTCCCTATAGCCCTGGGGCTGTGTCTCGTGAATTCCATATCATTTTTCTAGAATATGTACTAAAAATTAGTTAATGCACATATATTTGAAAATATTTATGTAAATTTTATTTATTCTCATGATCTCAAGAATATTTTTAAATATTAACTTAAGCTTAATTCATATCTTTCAACCTTGAAAATAATTGTTCATAATATCTTATGTGTGCTTCTAAATTATATACCAATTAATCAAGTTTATTTGGTAGAAGGAAAAACGAAATTAATCTATAAACATATGTTATTTCCAAACATCGCATGCCTACAAATTAATATATTTCAAAATTATCACATAATAAATATCTACCTTTAACTCTAGTAGAAACTTATAAATTTCATAAATCACAAAGCGTAAATGTTAATATAGACATAAATTATAAGTTTAGTGAGAAACTTGTAACTTTGGTTTCGTCAAACTGCTCCAATCTCTCCAAGCAACGGCTAGAACTAACATCATTTGAGTCCGGAAAATCATGTCATTCGACGCGTTTGAAGACAAAAAAACTTTTCATAGTCAATGTCCATGGATCACTTTTGAGTGATGAACTCCAGTACTCTCAGAGAATTCTTTTCAAATAGAAAGAGTTTGTTTTAATAATTGAAAATCTGTCGCATTACCGATTTTGATGGCACACTTTGGAATTGGTGGGCGTGAAATAAAATTCAATATTAATTCAATATTGACAGTAAAAATCCTTGCTATATGGGTGTGTTTGGTAGGAAGGAAAATGTTTTCCTGGAAAATGAATGGTGTTATCACTTATTTTCTCATGTTTGTTAGTGAGTGTTTTTAGTGTTTGATTAGAGAGTAGAAAATCTTTTTTTAGGAAAATAAATTTCTATGTTACTCTCCTCACCTCCATCCTCCCCCCAAATCCCATGTGTCCTGTGCTCCCCCACCCCCACCCCAAACAATTACATTTTTCTTCAAAAATTCAATTATTCTTCTGGAAAATTCACATAAACCCAAAAGAACTAATATGTTGATTTACTTTTTCACACAAGAACGTTAAAATTTGAGGTCCATAACTGAAAAAAATGTTTTTTCTTGTTAGAAACAAAATAAAAGTACTTTTTCTACAACACAAAAAGTATTCATTTTGTTGAAATAAAAGAAATTACTTTTTCTATATCATAGAAAAGAAAATACTCTATCTATAACATGAGAAAAAAGTACTCTAAACAATATTTTTATTATATAACCTCTTGCAACATATAAGATTCAGGTTAACAACGATAAACGTCTCATACACAGATAAAAGAGAAGAAATATAAGCAACTCCATAATAACCATTCTCAATATAGGAGTACTCAAGAAGCAAGTAGGCATGAGAAAAACCATCACAGAAGTATCACACACCATATTAGACAAGCAACAAAATATTTTTCTATAACAATTGCTTCCTATTCTAGCTTTGTTCTTCCAACCCCATTTGTGTATTTTAGTATTGTCGCTTGAATCTTTCCGGCCAAACCTTGGGGAGATTCTGATTTTTTGCCATGAATGCCTTAGCTAACATCTCTTTGCACCAAATAATCAAAAGCTTCACCTAAGAACTCTTCTTTATAACCTTCTGTTGCCACAATTTCTTCGTACAATCTTGTCACATCTAGTCGACTATCAGCTATCTTACTGATTGTCGTCACTTCTCCAAGCTTTGTTGATATATCACCGACCACATCTTACATCAGAAGAACGACTTCTTTTACGACTTGCTTTGACTTGAGAAGTTTCACTTACTACGCCTTGCACATCTTTTTCCTTTGATGGTCCTTCAATGTCATTATCATTACCTTTCTCCGGACTATAATCCAAGCCTATATCATCAAGGGACTTAGCACAATCACCCCTAGCTCGATCATTCCCGCACACAAGGGACATTTCTTCAAACATTTCAATATAAACTAATATTCAAAATTAATTAAAAACTTAATATTTAATATGTTACCCACTGCAAACCAAGGGTAATAATGATGGTTGTTCCTTATCTCCGATTGGATAGTATCATTCAGTGATTTCACAAGGGTTGGATAGAGCTTCAAAATTGCTTGAAGTACTGTGTGGAAACATCGATGAACAGATTCAATCGACCTATAAAAATGCGACCCTATCTTGCGAAACCGTTCATTAAAACCAACAATGTCTAAGAAAATTAGTACTTGTTCTTGCGCGGACATATTTTTGGTTGATCTCAAGAATTTTTTCTTCTAAGAGCATTACACAATTCAAAAAATATGGGTTGGCTCATTCTTATCTGACTTATACAATGAACAGTACTTCCATTCAAAATGCTATTCATGTAAAATTCCCTCTCTTGGTCTTTATTGGTATAAGGTGCCCTAGGAATGTTACTTTGATTTTCATAGACTAAAATAATTGCAGCCCCGACAGCTAAGACAGATGTGGCTGCTGCTCCAACTATTGCATCATCTTCGTCAGTTTCAATCGAATTCATCTGTTGCAACCCAACTTTAGAACTTCTACTCATAAAAAAGGATTGATAAAAACATTAAAGAGAGCCTAAAAGAAAAGCCACATTGCACAGCATATAAGCTAGTCTGACCACACAACAATCAAATTTCCATGTTGTGAGTGAAGCCATATTGCTAAAATTTCATTGAACTTGAATCATATATTATCTTCTTGATCAACAGTATCCTAGCTAGAAAAGCCTCCAAGTTCAACACTTGTGCTTTGATAGGTAACATTAACTTCCAGTATTACATTGTTTTGTTTCATAACTTGAAAGACAAAAGAGGACATAGAACTTGATATCATACAGAAATTAATATTAAGCAGCAAAAATAACAAGAAAGTGGATCATGAACAAACAAACTCTATCAAATCCCAACATGAAGAACATTTACCAAAAATTTCGAATACTTAGATAAACCAAACTAACTGAAGATGTACTAATTTTGACTATATTCAGGTCAGAAATTACATTTTAGGATTCTAAATATTAAAAATTTGAACTCGTGAATTAATCTCTTGTATTGCAATGGATATCAGGCAGAGCATTAGACTATTATTCATCATTTCATCATGCAAAAATAGAAGGAACTGAAGAAAAGTTTAAAACCCTAAAACAAACGCAGGGAAGGGGGCGTGCGTTCCCTAAAATCAAGAGCCCAAGAGCGAAATTGAGGGAGATTTTAGACAGCAAGCTGGGCGTTTTGGTGCGATGGCAAAGATCTTAAAATTCGAGACTGGAGAGAGAGAGAAATCGGAGTGAACCGAGATGAGAGAAGGGAGAGAAATCAGAGAATGAAGAGAGAGAAATCGGAAAAAGAAATCGACTGATTTGGGAACCAACGATTTGGGGGGGGAGGGGAGAAGCCAGATCGTGCGTTTTGTTTTTAGGAAAATATTTTCCCTTCAAATTTTAGGGAAAACATTTTTCCAATTGAAGAAAAATGAATTGATTGGGAAAATATTTTCCAAACTATTTGTGTCAATCGAACATGAGAAAATGGGAAAATATTTTCCAGAAAATGTTTTCCTCCATAACAAACACACCCTATATGTTGATTCAAAATCATTTCATAATAGGTAAGGGGAGGAAAAAAAATCGTGTATTCATTTAAATTATTGAGGAACATAGAAAACCCACTATATATACTGTGCCATGTTGCTACTATAAATTAGTATGGAGTTAAGAATGTATATTATTTCGTATACAGATCACATTCCAACTAACTAAAAATAACTGCAACGAGGAGGAATAATTCTATCAAGCAGACGAATGGTCTGTGCCCCATTGATCTGGACAGAAAGTTATGACAAATTGATCGGATGAACAGCCAACCACAGGTGAAGGTGTGTCAAAAGCATAAGTAACGTAAGAGGGACAAGATTTCTTGAATAAACTCGAGTACACACTTGGCTTGCATTTGTCAGGGCTCCCATATTTGTTCCTGCAACAAAATGAGTCCAGATTGAATGCCAAGCAAGCACTTTTACATGCCACCACTTGTCCTTCATCATTTATAACCTGTCAAAAATATAAACTATGTGCCTTAAAGTGTACTTCCCTGATAATTTAAGTATTTAGATGAGATGGTCACACAATTCAATAAACCTGAAGCTCTGGTGGGCACATGGCATTCAAGTTTCTTGAGCAACTTGTAATGACGCACTTTGATGCTGAAGGTTTTGATGTTATAGAAACAGGGAGGTTATATCCGTCAACTAAGCTCACATCGTAGAAACTTGGTTGTTTTTTGTCAAATTGTATAGACATTTCTACTAGTGTAACTGGAGGAAGGCCTATGGTTCCTTCACATTCGAGTTTTCCGTCACAATCGCCTGTTTCGCAGGCGGGTTTGTGATTGGTGGGATCGTCGAAATTGCAACCAGTTCGAGCCCAAATGCGTCCACTCCAATCCCCTGGGGCACCATATCTGCGAGTTCGGCCTGGTGGAAGGTAGAAGCCGCCGTTTGCTATAACTGGATGGCCTGCATTTGGGGCTGTTGCTGGCCATATAGGAAAGGGGCATTTGTTATTGATGTAGATGATGCATGCCTCCACCTCTCCGAGTTTACCTGTATAAAAATGATACCAAGTACTCTTTTTTAACTTTAACTTTAAATAACTTTTATATTCAACCAAATATTGTACAAATACCAGCTTAAACTTTGAAAAAAAAAAAAAAAAGCCATTTGTAGCATTTTCAAACGTCAAAGGATAGCTGGAGATATGGATAAATTAAAATGAATTAAAGAAAAGATTCAAGGGGAAAAAAGAAATTCTGAAACAGCAACTACATTTGAGTTATCTTAAATACCTGATGTAGTGAAGTGCCATGTCAAGAAGAGAAGGATTGCTGGAGATATCGATGAAAACTTCATCCTGATAATTTGCAATTTTGACGAATGTAAGGAGCTAAATTAAGAATGTATTTATAGTTTGGATATTAATAGAAGTGGTCCAAATCCTTCTTTGATTTTACTTCAAGTCTTTTACATAGACAGTCTTTGAAAATAAGAAACAACCTTAAAGAGAACAGATGTTTTACCTCTCCCTTTAAAGTATGATTTATCTTCCAATGGAAGGCTATACATCATAAATGAGCCCTGGCATTTTGCCACAGGCTTAATGTATGTGAGGTAGCCGGTAGGTTGAGCTAATCAACGTAGAGTATTTCTTTCTTTATTTCTTTTTCAGCAAAACATAGTCTTCAAGAAATAGTTCACTCCAGCTATATAGGTTGCAGGGCAATGCTAAATTTACGATTGAGTGATAAGTTGAAGTAAAATATACTATATTGTATCACTTAACTATGATCAAATAAAAAGCCTAATGTAAAAGACACGCATCATGTGATGCATGGACGGTAAAAACTTATCCGGTGGTTATACCAATCCAATAACTAAATGACACTTGTCACTTAATCTAACTACAACTATTAATGCTTAATCATAGTTAACTTTCATTTGTTTTGCACATAATCTAAATTAATAATTAAATATACCAAATAATCTAGCTAGCTATTCCGAAGGTGTTTCTTTGTTCTTTAACTGGACAATGCTTTTGAAATTCTAGATTAGCAAAACGATAAAAATTATTCGCATAAACACTTAAATTGATCATCTCTTTTTTATTTCTTCTTCTCACTGTTTAACCAAAAATCTGAGTCCTTGGTCAAAGCTAAAAAAGAAATTCGGGTTACTGATAA